AAAGTAAAAAAAAAAAAAAAAAAAAAAAAAAATTTTTATTTATATATAAAAATTAAAAACGAGATTTCAAATTTTTTTTTTTTTTTTTTTTTTTTTTTTACATCCTAACAACATGATGACAGAATTGTTATTTTGACCCTTTAAAAATTTCCCTATTTAAATGGAAACAAAAAAAGGGGATAAAAAGTTTTTTTTTTTTTTTTTTTTATAACCCGTTTTTAAAAAATTAAATCATTAAATTCGTAAAAAAAAAAAGGGCAAATATTTGAAAAAAATTTAATTAATTTTTTATCATTTTTCCCCCCAGGCCCCCCCCCCCCAAAGTAATTAAAAAAGTAAGGACTTTAAAAAAAAAAAAAATTTTTTTTGAGTTAAAATCAACAAAAACAACAATAATTATGGGGTAAAATTTATTTATTTTTTTTTTTTTTACGTAATGTTGTCACCCTGTCTCGCGAAATAAAACCGTTTGCGAAAATATAAACGAATGAATAATTTTTTTTTTATTTATTTTAATATTTATTTACTTAAGTTTAAAATCCTAACGAGAGAGAGAGAGAGAGAAACTTATTTAATTATATTCAACACCACGTTTTAAATTTTTTTTTTTTTTTTTTTTTTTTTTTTGGTTGTTGGCAACTCTTTTTTTTTTATCATAAACATTTTTTCAACGTTTGTTTTGATTTAAAAAGTTATAAACTACTTTTCATTTTTAAAAAAAATTATTAATTATTATTATTTATAGTGATAAAGTATAAAAAAAAAAATAATTATTATTAAATTTTTAAACTCTATTATTTTAAGTCGTCGTCTGCTACTATTATCATTATTTATTTTCGTTTTCGTTTAAACGATTTAAATTTTTAAAGAAAATAAGGTTAATTTTAAAAAAATCCTATTACGTAAACAACAACGAAAAAGAAATTTTTTTTTTTTTTTTTAATTGAATAAAAGTAAATAAATTTTTTTCGAAAGCTCAACATTATAAAAGGATTCAAAAAAATTTTTAACCTTCTTATAAATAAATGAATGAATACCTTAATAGGTACCTTTTTTCATTAAAAAAGCCATCTTCACGAAAATAAAACAAACAACCAGGTATTATAAGTTTTGTATCGATTGTTAATAGAGAGCAGACGAATTAATTTTTTTTGAACGCATATTAGTAACTCGATTATGATGAAATATGTAAGTATTTAATAACAAACAAGAATCAATTAAAATTATAAAATATTTAATTATTATTATTATTATTATTATTACTTATTCAACGTAATTTATCGATCGATTTAAAAAAAAAAAAATAACGAACACGATAATAATAATAATTTAAATTTAACGACGAATAAAATAAAAATAAATAAATAAATTTTTTTTTTTTTTGTGCAACCGTTTAAATGCGTTTTTTTATTATTATCATTTTTTTTTTTTTTTTTTTTTTTTGATAAATGACTTTTGAAAATAAAAAAAAGTAAACTTTCATTTTTGTATATGTATGTTTTGTCCCCCTTAAATATTCTTTTTTTTTTAAAAAAAAAAAAAAAACTTTCCCCATCTTTTTCCAAAAAAATTTAAATTTTTTTTTAAAAATTGGGTCCGTATTTAATTAGTAAAGGGAAACTGCAATTGAGTTTTTTTTAACTTCAATGGGAACATCTTACGATCTTAGTTCAAAAAAAAAAAAAAAAGAAAAAAAAACTCCCTTAAAAATTAACATAATTGGGAGAACAACTAAAAATATTAAATTTTAGAATTATTTAATAACGATCCCGAAATAACAAAAACAAAAACAACAACAACAACAACAACAACATGAGAAAAAACGTTTTTTGTGTGTGTGTGTTTAAAGGAACCAAACGTGAGAATTCAAGAAGGTTAGATTAATTTAATTATTAATTTCATTGAAAAAAAAAAAAAAGGATGCGAAATTTATGGGCAAAACGAGAATTTTTTTTTTTTTTTTATTCGTACAAGGAAGTAAAACCTCTTACGTAAAAAAAAAAAAGAAGAAAGAAGAAAATTAATTTTTAATTTTATTGCTTTAAGGGTGTACGTAAGGAATTGTGTGACGACACAACAATACATGTAAAAATTTAATCAATTAATTAAAAATAATTTTTTATAACGTTATTTATTGTAAAAACTCAGAAAACCCTTTTCGAATTTGATAATATATATAAAAAAATATCATTTGGCCCATTACTTTCTAATTTGCCCTATTTTAACGAGCGACCATTTTTAAAAATTTAATGGTGGGGATGATGGAACATTCATACAACCATTTAGTCATGACAAATATTGAAAAAGAGTAACATTAGAGTTTGTTTAGGACGTTATTTACTATTTACTACTACCTTTGACGACCTACGCCAATCAGAATAAAAAGGCAAAAATTTTCCAAAATTTTTTTCTAATATATATATATATATATATATAGGAAAGTGTTTGTTATAATAATGTTGCGGCAGTCAATGCCTTGCTTGGATTTGTGTTGAGAGTGGAGAAAGTGGTCGTTGTACTCATATATTTCTCCTTTTAAACCGTTTCTTTTGACTTTTCTTTCCTTTCTTAAATAAAAACCGAGATTGGTTTTTTTTTTTTTTTTTTTAATATTTAATAAAGAATTAATAAGTCGCGCATGCGCTAACGGTTAAATATAAAATAAAAGAGAATTACCATCCACTTCTCCGCGCATATAGCCCTTAGTTTCACAAGATGGTAGTGTTACCAGTCAGGTTGTGCGTTTTTTTTCTCGTTTTGGGATTAGGTAAGTTAAACATTTTATCTATCCAAGTCAATTTCGTCATCAATTATTGAATGAATTATGTTAAAAGTTAAATCGCAAAAAAAAAAAAAATAAGAAAAAAGTAATTTTTTTAGAATTGATTTTTTTTTTTTTTTAAAAATTTTGTCGGTTTTTTTTTTTTAATTTTTTTTGTCAATCTGTCTGGAATTAAGAAGCCGGTTAGGTTTTGGAAAAGCCAAAAATTTCAATAAAATATGTTATTAAACAGGTCAAGGAGCTTATGTGACCTGTGGAAAATCGATAATTAAAATTTTCTTTTATCATTGCAATTACTTGCATTTTTATCAAAAATCATTATACGATTATATTAACGGTAAAGAGACTTTACGGGTCAATAAAATCATATTTTAAATTTTCCCAACACCTGATTAGTGCCCCCTCTTACAAGTAATTTAAGTAAAAGTCATCAAATCAACCATTTTTTTTTTTTTTTTTTTTTTTTTTTTTTCAAAACGAACGGGTCTTAATCAATCGTAAAAGTATATTGCAAAACTTAGGAATTTTTTAAGGTCAAAATTTTAATTTTTTTTTTTTTGCAAGATGTTTCTCTTATTATTTACAAATTACAATAACCGACTCTTATTCCGTAATAAAAATGTTTTCAAAAAAAAAAAAAAAAAAAAAAGTAATTTTGAAAATGAAATGAAAAAAATTCATTTATGAATGTGTGATTAATGAAAGAAACTGTTAATTGTTATAAATTATGTATTCATTGAATTATTTGTTTTTGAAAAAATAAATGAGAAATCATGTATTGACAAGGTTAACATCTTTTCTAAAATTCAACCTTTCAATCTTAAAGTCAGTCAGACGTTTTCCATTGAACTGGTCAATACCGTCACTATCTTTTTGGTAAATCATGTTAAAAGTACGTTAATTCAAATTCTTCATAGGAAAAAGCAATTATAAAAAGTTCATCATCGTCTGATAAGGTCTCGCAACTCCATTAATCACCTTAACGAAAAAAAAAATAAAACGATTCCACAATTACTTAAAAAATTATTTAGCAACGAGAGCCCTAATAAATATTTTCTAAAACCACGTAAAACCGAATTGCAAATTTTTAATATCTAATTTATTTTTACGTTAACCTAAGAGACTCGTTTGTTCATTAATATTTTTTATCGTAGGTTTATCTTCATTGGTACGTAACAAAAGACAAGATGATGAAGGGGATGAACCTTCAGTAGATGAACTTTGTTCAAACAGGCCTCCAGATGAATATTTTCGATTGACGACCGAGGGGGATTGCAGAGATGTAGTTCGGTAATAATTATTTTTGTTTACTTTAATCATATTTATAAAAAAAAAAAAAATGTGTTTTTTTATTCTCTCATGACAAAAGCTTTTAAAAAAAAGCTACAAACAACTTACACAAAGCAGCAATGAATTGGATGAAAATTTCACTTTAGAGAAAGTACGTTTGCAATAATCCCAATAAAAAAAAAAAATTACAATCAATCATCATTCAACTCATCCTTTTTTTTTTTTTTTTTTTTTTACTGTCTATCTAAAGAAGAAATGAACGTACAAAGCAATAAAATTATTAACTTTCTAATTTCTTATTGAAAATTGGCCAGAAGGATAAACTCGAAATGGTTTCTTAAATTTATAATGAATATGCATCTTTCCTTTAAAAATAATAAAAAAAAAAAAAAAAACGAAAATTGATATTTTATTCCTGAAAGTAAATTATAATGACTGACTGACTGGTGAAAGCTTATTTAGTGGTTTTCTGTTAATTTTAAATTATCATTTGTAGTAGTCGTAGGGGAGTAGTAGTCGTCACTCGTATTCTTTTTTTTTTTTTTTGTTCTGGCAAATGAATACGACCGAGTAAAATGATCCAAAGAAGAGCCAAAGAAACTTTTTTTTTTTTTTAGGATAATTTTAGAAATCTAAACATATAAGACAACACACACACACACACATTTACGTTTCTTTTAAATATCTAGATCCATTATTTAATCTATGAAAGATGGTTACGTAATCAAATTGGTTTTCAAATATTAAAGTTATTATTATTATTATTATTATTATTATTATTATTATTATTATTATTATTATTTGTAAATTAGGCAATACCTCCGGCGTTGTATGTATATTTATGAGAAATAATGAAACGGGTAAAAATTATGTAAATAAATTTAGGCTGTACTTAATAAATTAATAATTTAGGTGTGACAAAGCCGGAGAAAATGGAGTTACTCGATTAGCAGCTGTTCGATGCCCGAACGGATTGGCCTTCGACATCGACAGACAGACTTGCGATTGGAAAACTCACGTTAAAAATTGTGATCAATTGGAGAGTGAGTACACAAGAATATTAACCAAAGGGAACCAATGACAAAATGTGCCTAAAACTTTTAATATCTTGGAAAGTTGATGTGGCCTAATGTGTAACAGTGAAGAACAGGTCTTCTTCATTAAAAAAAAATAAAAAAAATAAAAAACTTCCTGCTTAATCAACACTTTCAACTAGTTTTAACTAATATTTCTTTTCATGACAAATAAAAAAAAATTAACAAGAAGAAGAAGATTCGGGTTCAACTTGTTAATGGTTTCCTATATTATTTACTAATACAACTAATTCGAAATTATTTTATCAATTTTACCAGGTGCACAAAATCTGGTATTAAACAAATCACTTGTCCTTCTGGGTTGGCTTTCGACATTGATAAACAAACTTGTGACTGGAGGGCTAAAGTGACCAACTGTGACAAACTCGACAGTAAGTTAATTTTGGGAGGCAAAGGTTGTAAAGAGAAGATGAGGGATTCGCAAATAGATAGTAGATTTTGTTCTATAGGTGAAGGTTCAAAATATTTTTGTAAAAATTAGTCACAGTGGTAGAAATAAGGGTGGGTGGGAAGGGGAAAAGTTTTAGTTGTACAGTAGTTTAGTTTTTGTTTTGGTTAAAGAATCAAAATTCGCTTTGGTACATATTACATTAGACCTTATTTCGGGTAACTTGGTTTGCTTTGTAAAATATACATTTTTTAAAAAGTATGTCATTTTGAATGTCACAACGTTAAGTCGAGACATTTAAACGTTGCCGTAAGAAAATTATTATTATTTATTTTCAGCATTACATAAAATGGGGTTTTCACCCGGTTGCAAGTTTTCAAGGTATTATTATTTTGTGTAAATACTTTTCCTTTTTTTTTTTAAGTATTGTACAGTTTTAATGGCATTAAATGTAAATTCATCGATAAATTTGAAATATCACAATAATAATAGTAGTTTTTAGATACTTATTTATGTACGTAATAGCCAACTCACAAGTTCTTCTAGAACATAATTTTTTTAATGTGGTAATATAACTAACCATTAATTTTAAACAAAAAGTTATTAAACATTTTAAATTATTCTTTTGTGGTGGTGGTCGTTATTAATTTAATGTTATTTTTATGAGTCATTTTGCAAAATAATTGCAAAACGGTAATGTATACAATTTATAAAGTGCTTAGAGCTTTTTAGGTGTTTTTTTTTTAAATAGTTATAGCGTTCGAAGTAAAAAAAATAAAATAAAATTTCGAAAATTGTGCATGCAATATAAATTAGTGATATTAAAAAATTATTGGATTAGCAAAATATAATTAGAAAATTTTAGTTTTATTATCGCCGCGGTGAATGTAAAATAAATGTTTTGAATCGTAGAAATTATAAGTATTTCTTTTAAAAAATCGCGTTATTTTGAAAAAAAAACTTTAGCTCACTCAACTTAATAATTTTTTTGTTTCACTCACCAGAACCAAGAAAAGTCCTTCCAATATTGAAAACCGATGAACCTGTTTGCCCAGAAGGAAAACTTTCATGTGGAAATGGCGAGTGCATTGACAAAGAACTCTTCTGTAATGATAAACCAGATTGTAAAGATGAATCTGATGAAAATGCTTGCAGTAAGTAAAAATTAACTTAAAGTAATAATATATTATTAAAATTTATTTAAAAATTAATCGGGAGTATGAATGAATTATTACAGCCGTGGAATCAGATCCCAACCGAGCACCCGATTGTGATCCCACCCAATGTATTTTACCAGATTGTTTTTGCTCTGCTGATGGTACTAGGATTCCTGGACAAATTGAACCAAATCAAGTTCCACAAATGATAACAATTACTTTTAATGGAGCCGTCAATGTAGATAATATAGACTTGTACGAAGAAATTTTCAACGGACTAAGACAAAATCCAAACGGTTGTCAAATCAGAGGAACGTTCTTTGTTTCTCACAAATATACCAATTATTCAGCCGTACAAGATTTACACAGAAGGGGACACGAAATTTCAGTCTTTTCTTTGACTCATAAAGATGATCCAAAATACTGGACTGAAGGAAGTTATGATGACTGGTTGGCCGAAATGGCAGGTGCCAGGCTCATTATTGAAAGATTCGCCAACGTTACTGATGGATCTGTGATTGGTGTCAGAGCACCTTACTTAAGAGTAGGAGGAAACAAACAATTCGAAATGATGGCTGATCAATTTTTCGTATACGATGCATCAATAACTGCACCTTTAGGTCGTGTTCCAATCTGGCCGTACACTTTGTATTTTAGAATGCCACACAAATGTAATGGAAACGCTCAAAATTGCCCAAGTAGAAGTCATCCAGTTTGGGAAATGGTCATGAACGAACTTGACAGAAGAGATGACCCCACCTTTGACGAATCTTTGCCAGGTTGTCACATGGTCGATTCTTGTTCTAACATTCAAACTGGTGAACAATTTGCCAGATTATTGAGACACAATTTCAACAGACATTTCAACAGCAACAGGGCTCCTTTGGGTCTTCATTTCCACGCTTCATGGTTAAAAAGCAAAAAGGAATTTAGAGAAGAACTTATTAAATTTATTGAAGAAATGTTGGACAGAAACGATGTTTACTTTGTAACAATGTTGCAAGTATGTAAAAAATTTTATACAAATCTTTATACTATTCAAATTAAAATAATTCTTTTAACTATTCAAAAATCTATTCTTTTACATAGGTTATTCAATGGATGCAAAATCCAACAGAACTGACAGCTTTGAGAGACTTCCAAGAATGGAAGGAAAAATGTGATGTCAAAGGACAGCCCTACTGCTCTTTGCCAAACGCTTGCCCACTTACAACTAGGGAATTGCCTGGTGAAACTTTGCGTCTTTTTACATGTATGGAATGTCCAAATAATTACCCATGGATTTTAGATCCTACAGGTGATGGTTTTTCTGCCAAAAAATGAACAAAAATAACATATTAAACATAATTTAGGACATTAGCTGAAACATGCAAAATAAAACTTAATAGGCAGGCCTGTTGAGTCAAATTTCAACTGGTAAAATTTATTCTTCACAAATACATTATCAATAAACTTATATAAAAAATAGACAAATTCTCAATACAGTAGAAAAACAAAAATTAATTTAAATAAATTAACTACTGCTATAAAGAAGAAAATATCTGATTTGATTGTCCTAAGTGTAAAAACTAGTCTAAAAACTTCTTGAAATTGTTACAAAAAAAAGTAAATTTTTACAATTTTATTATATTAAATTTTGTGTAAATTTAATTTAAAAATGTATTTTTTCAATTGATTATTTACTGATTTTTGACTACAGAGAAGCATAATATTGACTAGACATTAAAAAAGCAGGCATGCTAAATTTGTTTCACTTTTTGGCAAGTGAAATCATTACTTGTATTATTATTATTGTTTTCTTTTTTTTTTAAATTCTTTTTCAATTATTTATAAATTTCATGAATTTTATATAATAAAAAATTAAATGTAGATAATTTTTTTTTTTTTTTTTTAATAAAAATACTTGATTAAGCTCATTTACATTTCAAAGAAAAGCAGAATTGTAGAAAGATTTTAGACACTTTAATAAAATTCAATAATTTTTAAAACTTTTATAAGTAAAGGAAATTTATTTGAAAAGTGTCTAAATATATATGATGGGTTGTATTGCATATTATGTAGCAAGAAATATACAATTTGTTATTGATGACCATAAAAAAAAAATTTTCTCCAATATTTTTTTGCATCCTTTTATTTAAACCTTTTTAAATTTTAAAACTGTATATATTCCCAAATAAAAAAAAATTAAAAGCAAATTCAAATTTTGTTAGGTACTACAAATTCAATCGAATTTAGGTTATGACTTTTGTGATACTCTAATTCTTAAATTTTATGATTTTAATTTTTTTGATTTATGGTATTTGATTGCATTCACTAAAGTAATTTTAAATAAAAGTTTAATTTACCTTTATACTTTTTAAAACAATAATAAAAATAAATTTGCAGAATCTTAGAATCTTTACACACATTGCACAAGGGACAATAAAATATTTAAATGTAAAAGCTACTATACACATACTATACTATATATACACATATATGTGTACTATGTATGCAGATAATGGTTCAAAAATTTTACAAAAAATAATCTACTTATAATTATAAATTTTACACTTAATATTATTATACTTTACATTACACTTTATTTTATACTTTTAAAACATCTTTGAATAATAATAATTAATATTTGTATAGATAAATTACAGACTAGAAGTAAAGTATAGGTTTACCTGTAATAAATGATTTTTTTACTCCTTTCCTTTTAATCCTCTATTACGAACACTTTAATTTCTTTTTCATAAAATAAAATTTCACAACACTCACTATCATTCACTCACTTCAAATTCACTCACTATTTCATTATTCAAACAAAAAACTAAATATTAATTAATTAATTAAACCTAAAATTTCAGCGCGCACAAAAAGTTTTAGTACCAACTAAACGCGGGTTTTACTTTCAGTGATGAATGCTTTTTTCACAAAATTTGCTTTTAATAGTAGCAAAAGCTATTTTTATATACATTTATAAATTACTAAAACAAAGTTAACTATTTTAAAACTTAAAAATTTTAAATTTGAAAACTTTTTTTATAAAATTTTAACGCAGAAGCCTTACAAAATTTAATAATTTACTTTAAAAAAATATTTGCTACTGTTAATTATTGCCGCATTCACCATATTGCTTTGGATGACAAGTCGGTTTTGAGTTTTCTATCAACAAATAGTATAAATTATCATTTTTAAGTGAAAATGACACCTTCAGTGAAAAAGAATGATCAACCTACGCCAAAGCCAAAAAGTGAAGACACTGAGAAAATGGAAATGTCAGAAGAAGATAAGCTTCTACAAGAAGAATTAAACATGCTAGTAGAAAGGTTACTTGAAAATGATGCAAGTCTTTATCCATTAGCTCTAGAAACATTAAGTGCAAGGATAAGAGCGTCAACCACATCAATGACCTCTGTTCCAAAGCCTTTGAAGTTCATGAGACCGCATTATGACAAAATGAAGAAAGTATATGAAAAAATTACCAAATCCGAAACTAAAGCTTTTTGTGCTGATATTATTTCTGTATTAGCTATGACAATGAGTGAAGAACGAGAATGTCTTAAATACAGATTACTCGGATCTTACACAAATATTGTTGATTGGGGTCATGAGTATGTAAGGCATTTGGCAGGTGAAATTTCCGCAGAATGGGCAAATACCACTCCTGAAGATCAAAAATTAAGAGAACAGTTAAAAGTATTAGCTAAAAATATTGTTCCTTACCAAATGAAACACAATGCAGAGGCTGAAGCTTGTGATTTACTAATGGAAATTGAATCATTAGAAATGCTAAAAGAATATGTGGATGAAAATGCTTATCAAAGAGTTTGTTTGTATCTCACGAGTTGTGTTCCGTACATGCCAGAAGGAGGAGAACATTTACTTCAAGTTGCTACTGAACTATTTTTGCACTTTGGTCAGTATCCTCAGGCTTTAAGATTAGCTTTACAGCTTAATATTCAAAAAGATAATAAAGCTCAGATTGAAAAAATATTTTCATCTTGCCCCGATCCAAGTGTTCAAAAGCAATTGGCATTTATGTTGGGCAGACAGCAAATTTTTATTGATAAATCTCAGAACATGGATGATGATGATGATGATTTAGTCGAGTTGATGTCTAACTCACTTCGAAGTAATCAATTTATCAACCTTGCCAGGGAACTAGATATTATGGAAGCTAAAACACCTGAAGATATATATAAGTCTCACTTAGAAAACACAAGACCTCATTTTGGAAGTGGTCAAGTAGATTCTGCTAGACAAAATCTTGCAGCTTCTTTTGTAAATGGCTTTGTTAATGCCGGTTTTGGTCAAGATAAATTATTGATAGAAGATGGAAATAAGTGGCTTTACAAAAACAAAGAACATGGAATGCTCAGTGCAACTGCTTCTTTGGGTTTAATTTTGCTTTGGGATGTGGACGGAGGATTGACTCCGATAGATAAATATTTATATTCTGCAGAAGATTACATTAAATCTGGAGCTTTATTAGCTTGTGGAATTGTTAACTGTGGTGTAAGGAATGAGTGCGATCCTGCTTTGGCTTTACTTTCGGATTACGTTCTTCACAGCAGTAATATTATGAGAATTGGAGCGATATTAGGCTTAGGGTTAGCCTACGCTGGTAGTAATAGACAAGTAGTTTTGAATCTACTCTTTCCTATATTTAGTGATCCAAAATCTAATATGGAAGTCATAGGGATAGCAGCTTTAGCCTGTGGTCTCATATCTGTTGGATCGTGCAATCCTGAAGTTACAGATACAATTGTTCAAACAATGATGATGCCACGGAGGGAAAGTGATTTAAGAGATACTTATGCTCGATTTCTTCCCCTTGGTGTAGGTTTAAATTTATTAGGAAAACAAACTGCTTGTGAAGCAGTCACAGCAGCTCTTGAAGTTACGCCTGAACCTTACAGATCAATGTCGACAACTCTTGTTCAAGTTTGTGCTTATGCAGGTACAGGTAATGTACTGAAAATTCAAAAGCTTTTGCATATCTTAAGTGAACACTATGAACCATATAATGAAAAAGAAGATACTAAGAAAGATAAAAAAGAAAAAATTGATGAGGATAAGAAAAAGGAGGAAAGGGAAAAAGACTTGAGCTCTCAGCAAGCTGTCGCAGTTCTTGGTATTGCTCTAATTGCTTTAGGAGAAGATATAGGAACTGAAATGGCTTACAGAACATTTGGACAGCTATTAAGATATTGTGAACCAGTTATAAGGAAATCAGTACCATTAGCTTTGGGTCTTATATCAGTATCCAATCCAAAAATGAACATATTAGATACCTTAAGTAAATTTTCACATGACAGCGATAACGAAGTCGCTCATAATGCAATATTCAGTATGGGATTGGTTGGAGCTGGTACAAACAATGCCAGATTAGCTGCCATGTTGAGACAGTTAGCTCAGTATCATGCAAAAGACCCTAATAATCTTTTTATGGTTAGATTGGCTCAAGGATTGGTTTATCTTGGAAAAGGCACACTCACTTTATCTCCATATCACTCTGATAGACAATTGTTGAGTCCAGTTGCATTGGCTGGTCTCCTTTCTTGCATAATCGGATTCTTAGATGTAAAAAACATAATTTTAGGAAAATCTCATTATATTTTATATTGCTTAGCTGCCGCTATTCAACCTAGAATGCTAGTAACATTTGATGAAAAACTCAGACAGTTAGCAGTACCAGTAAGAGTAGGTTTGGCTGTAGATGTAGTTGGTCAAGCTGGAAAACCGAAAACAATCACAGGTTTCCAAACACATACCACACCTGTTCTCCTTTCTCATGGCGAAAGAGCTGAATTAGCCACAGATGAATACATACCTCTAACACCTATTATGGAAGGATTTGTCATTCTAAAACCAAATCCTGACTTTAAAAAGTGAATAAGAAAATAATGTATTTAAATGATATATAAAAAAAATATGTATTATATTGATAAGAGAAAATTATTGTCACAATGAAAGAAAAAAATTTAAAGAAATATGCAGGTAATTAATTTGTTATATTTCATTGTGCTCTCAAAAAGTTATCTTGAGTCTTAATGTAATTTAATTTTTTTTTCTTTTTCCATCTGTAGAACTTGAAAGGAATCGAAATGTTCAGGCAGATACGAGGAAATGTGAATTTGAAGATTAGTGTCGTTTCATTTGACAAATTCATTCATTTATTTATTTTTGTTTTTTTTTTATTTACTTTGTATTATTCATAAATAAAAGAAATAGATTTTAATTATTGTTATTATTGTGCCACCTTTTTATATTTTAAAATACTTAACAATTACAAAAAAAAAAAATAATAATAATAATAATAATAATAATAATAATAATTTAATAAATATCAAATTATATAAAACTGATCTCAATTGCTTCTTCACTATTGAGGAATTTTTAATTTTCCTTCTCCCAATAACCAAAGGCATATTCTATCCAGGGCAAATGATAGTACGAAATCTGCCAATATTACTTTGAATAAAACCCATTTAAACTAAAAATAATAAAATAATAATGATAATAATAACTAGTCATTTCTTTTTAAATGCATGATAAGAATGTAAATTAACGCATTTACCTCGTCAGAAAAATCAACTATTTCAAGATATTGGGAAATATCTGGAAAAATACCAAAAGCCAAACATATTATGCCAACGGATGACCCGACGATACTTATCATCAATGATTTATTTTCCCAAAAGCTTTCCATAAAAGGATGGCCCTTGAATAAAAATTATAAAAAAATTATTATTGTTTGCAAAACGTGAAATAAAAATTGATTGATTGATTTCAAAGTTTACCCTATAATTAACAGCTATGGTTGACACTTGAAAAGCTATAGATATAATATAGACTGTACTGTTAAGTATGTTAGATTCGAAGACTTCGGCTGCATCTTTGTTATCATCATCAGATTCCAAAGGTAAGCTGCAAATAAACATTTTTTTTTGGTATCGACTCTTAAATTACTATCAATCATAATCACAAAATTATTTACCTGGAAGTATTATTTGGTTTTTCTGATTTTTCAAGAGCCGTTCTTAGAGTAGCTTCCTGAACTAAATATATTAAGCAGGTAAAATGTACGAAAAACTGGAGTAACACAGTCATTATTGTATAAACGTTAAATATGTTTGGAAGAGGTCTTTGCTTTGATAAAGTCTTCAAAGGCTAAAATTTAAATTTAATCTTTACCGTTTTTAAAATTTTCATTTTAAAAACAACAGTATAATTGTAAATTTCTTTTTTTACCTTTGATTTTGAAATAAAAAGGAAACACATGGCCAACATGAGACCCTGAGCAGTAGCTTGTATATCACTGAATTTTATACCATCCAGATAAAGCACTGATTGACTGTATGCTAATATCAATGCATTTAAAGCAAGTATTTTAAACATTTGAAGAGTGGTCACCAATGTACACCTTCCTTGCTTAATGACGTGACAAACTTTAAATTAAAAAAATATTTTAGTTTTAAATTAAATGTGTTAAAACAAATAAAATTGTAATAATTAATTTTTTTTAAATGCAAAACATTAGCACAACTTACTGCATTCAATTGATGAAAGTTTGCTGGTGAAAGGAGCTGCTATGCTGGCATCTCCCAACTTAACGTACGTTCTCTCTTCCATTTCCATACGAAGTCTTTCAAAATGCGTAGAGGTATTACTATTGAGCTTTAAAACGATAATTTTAATATTTTTTATTATATTTCAATGAGGTTAACGAATGCTAAAACTTACTGTTTTTCTTTCCGCTGGCAAAGGAAGCGTAGGTTTCTTTCGAGGGCTCAAAAAGCTAGGTGCCGTCGACATGATGGCTACTCCTACATCTGCATGTTTTAAAGCACCCACATCGTTCGTGCCATCTCCGCACATGGCAGTACAATAACCTAATGATTTCAGAGCAATTACAATTTGCTCCTTTTGCTTGGGAGCTACCCTAGCAAATACGGTAACGTACGGTAATATTTTACGAAAGTAATTTTCATTCTGAGACATTAGTGCATTCAAACCCTAAAAAAAAAATTAAAGTTAAAGTTAGTAAAAAAAAAAAAATGTATTTTTAATAAAACGTTACTTTATTTATTAAGTAAAAAAATTTTACTTCTCCTGTCAAACACAAATCATATTTTCCCGTTATGACTCCCCAATTGTCAATGTCAAATGGAATCTGTACCGTTTGATCTATACTTTCCCATAACCACTTTTCACTCCCTGTATTTTTAAAAAGCAAAGTTGTATTTTTTTTTGTAAATTTCAATTCTTTAGCAACGTGACAAGCGGTTAAAGCATTGTCCCCCGTTATCATAACGACCTAAAAAGTATTTTAAAAAATTTTTTTTTATACGGATATTGATAATACTTAAAATAATAATATTTCATAGTAGACAATAATAAGAAAAATGAAGATGGTGGAAATTATATTATTTACTTCAAATTATAAGTTAATTTAAAATACTAACGTGATGAGAAGAATTGATGATTTCTTGAATTACTCTTTTGGAATCAGGTTTTAAAGGACATGAAATAACCACAAAACCGGTAAACTTCAATTTACATTCTACTTGTTCCCTAGTCAGATCCCGAAGCTGTTGATGTGATATACATCCGAGATCTTTCCAGCCCAATGCTAAAATTCTGGCACCTCGCCTTGACATTTCTAAATAAATGTCATCATAATCCGATGGAATTTCTGAAAACTGAATGAAATACGATTGCAAAATTAGAAAAAATAGATATCACAAAACCTTTTTTTTTTTTAAACGACAGACTTCTATGCGTACCATGCTTTTCAATGTTTCAGGTGCTCCTTTTACAGTAACAATATAATTAGTATCACTAGTACCTGGTATTATATAACCAGCAATCACAGACATTCTTTTTAAGGCTGAAGAAAAATGAAATCTCTGGAAAATTTTCAAACCAGGAATTTTTCCTTTTTTCGGCGTAACGTTATCACCTTTAGATAAGTTCCAATCCATTGCACTCAAAGTAGCTTTCTCTAAAGGATCTCCAACGATGCCTTCATCAAGCTGAGCTAATGAATGACAAGTAGCTAATACTTGCAAGCTTTCTTTAGGACTATCATTTAGTGGTAAAATGTCATTTTTATTTTCACTAAAAAAAATAAATGTTATAATACAACAAAAAATGAAAATATGATTTTATTAAAAAATGACAAAGTAATAAAATAAATTAAAGTAAAACTTACGACAACCCAGCTAGACCTTCCACAATTAAACTATCACTGGTTAATGTTCCCGTTTTGTCAAAGCAGCAAATTTGAACTTTTCCAGCGAAAGGAATGCGAAATGGTTCAGTGCAAAAGACAACTATCACCAAAAGTAATTTTAATGCATTTTCAAAATTTAATTATTAACATAAGTATTAATGAAAACTTTTCTTACATAATTGGGATAATGACACTAGAGATGTATTAACTGCTAATGATAATTCTATGGGTAATTCTGGAGGCACAACAGAAGTTAATATAAGTATGCATTCCAAAAGTAATTTATAACGGCTTCGATTTGGATCTTCACATCCTTTAATCCAAACGTAGCTAGCAGCAATTATAGCGAAAAATAATAAAAATAATATAAAAGCAAATGTTTCAAGATTATTGGCTGTGACACGCTTAACACCGAAAAGAATTGTTCGGAGTAATTTTCCTTGAGATGTATTAAAACCTGTTCTTAAGACATAAGCAATGCAACCATTATCCTGAGCTAAAAAAAAAAAAAAAAATACTTTCTTTAGGGGTACAAAATATTGCTTTAAAAAATCAGGGACTTTGCAAAAATAAAATTACCTCTCAGTTTTGTGGAGTTTTTACTAGGGGGTGTGTGCTGCACAACTTTAGTGCCACCAAATAATACATGAAGTTTACCATGTGTTTCTATATTTAAAAAGGTTTCACTATCTGCATTTTCAATAGGTTCTTTCATTTGTGGCACAGATTCACCTAATGAAAAAAAAAAATTAAGAAATTACTACTTAAATCTTTCTAATATTTGTAATGAAAATATCGAAACCTAAATTATTAATTTACCTGTTAACATACTCTCATCAACTATACAAGGACCTCTTAAAAGCAACATATCACAAGGAACTAAATAGTCATATTGTGATCTTGTCATTGAAACAATATCACCAGGTCTTAACTGATCACTTTTTACAAATCTCCATTTTCTGTTTCTGTAGGTCTGGATCATATATGGTTTATTACCCATGTTTCTAATTTCAGCCATGTTTCGTAATTGTTGTTGAACTAATATACATTCAAAAACTATTAACATGACAAATGTAAAAACTGAATACAACCAATATTCATCCAGACACCACAAAGCAACACAAAGAATTTGAAAGACGAAAAATGGAGCAGTTGCTCGCTCTTGAAATAATTCAAAAAACTCAGGAACCACCATGTCCATTCTAAGATGAAAAAAAAAAAAAATTAAAAATAAAAAAAATTTTTATATAAGCTAACTTTAATATAGTTAAAAAAAAAAAATTAATTACGTATTAATTCCATATTCCATCTCAGCAGCAAGCAATCCATCGTCATCCTGATAACCTTTCCAATCCATATATTTTCCAAAAGAGTAATTAATTGGAAATTCGACTCCTCTAAAATTTTTTTTATCAGGATCCCAAACATATTTTGTTTTTTGGAACATAAACCAAAGACTTTCACTTTCATTTTCATTATTAATTTTAGTGCGATGTAAATTAACTAATTCTGATGAGCCATTATTAGAAGTGGGGACAACTTTAGCTAATGTTGCGGATAAGTGATTAGAAGCCTTTAAATAAAATTTAAAAGTAATTCTCCTAAATATGTTTCATTTAATCTGAAACATTATAATTACCTTATTACAGGTGAAAAAGCATCGCACGTGCACGGACCAATGACAGCATAAACAACAAAATAATTGGCACAATCCAATTAAACTCACACCTATAATTCCAGCTTCATAATAGTCCCAAACACCATAAACAAAAAACCAAATATACGTCCAAGAAGAATATAGAATTATAAACGGTAATACAAATCCATTTAAAATGAATGGACGTGGAACATAAAGTGTAACAGATTGAACCAATTCATCAATCTTAGGTTGAGATGCCATTATTTTTTTTTTTTTTTTTTTTTTTGTAATTATATTAAAATTTCATTCTTCAAGTCGAATTAAAATTAATTTTAAACTTAAAAATTTTTTTACACTAAAAAATTAAATAAATGTTAATTTACTTTACAGTTAAAATTTTACATTCTGTGAAACTAAATTTTAACTGTTAAAATATATATAAATTAAGAGACATTTAAAAATAACTAGATTACTTAATTGCTATTGAGTTGTTTATCTAATAACAAACAAAACACTTACAATATAATTTATAAAACAACTCAATGGTCAATGAAAGAGAAAAGGGTGGAAAATTTGCTACAGCCACGTCAATACCATACAGTCTCGCGAACCTGAATTAATTCAGCCGGGTCATGCTACCTTTCAGTATAACCATTTAATTTACAAACGTAATTATCATGGATTCTGCTAAAATTATAAATACCCTAAAAGATTTTGATGGATATCCCAAAACTTTAGATGATTATAGGATACGAACCTTAGGTGGAGGGGCAGGTAAAATAAACCATAACCTGGCTTTAACGATTTTTTAAACTATTAAAAGTATATATTTACGTAGAATATTGATTTACAACTAATAAAATTAATGAAAATGATCACCGAATTTTTTTTAAACAAAGTGTATTTTGAACACTTTATAATTTTGCTGTATATAAAGTAGATTTAAATTTTTAATTTAAAAAAAATATTTTTTTTTCAGTTACGGTTGTAAGCTACATTATTATGACATTACTTTTTATATCTGAATTAAACACATACCTAACTCCTGATATTTCTGAAGAGTTATTTGTTGATACAACAAGAGAACCTAAATTGCAAATTAATCTAAATATTACAGTGCCTGAAATCTCTTGTAAATGTAAGTAAACATTTTTTTTTTAATATTTTAATTTTTTTAAAATCACTCATAAAAAAACTTTGATAATTTTAGATTTATCTTTAGATGCGATGGACTCTTCTGGAGAACAGCATTTACAAATTGAACATAATATTTATAAAGTAAGTTTAGATAAAAATGGAATTCCAATTAAAGAGCCAGAAAAAGAAACGTTTGTAAAACCCGTCAATGAAACTAAAGAAAAAAAATGTGGTAGTTGTTATGGAGCTGAATCTGAAACTCTAAATATTACTTGCTGCAATACTTGTGCAGATGTCAAAGATGCATATATGAAAAGAGGCTGGGGACTAAATAATTTGGAATTAATTGAACAGTGTAAAAACCTTAGCCAAAACAATATTTTTAATGAAGGTTGTTTTATATATGGAACAATGGAAGTAAATAGGGTGAGAATTTTTTTAAAAGTAGAAAACAATTTTATGTTTGATATATTAATAAATTTAACATAAAAGTACAATCGCTAGCAAATTTTAAATTGTATTGATACATTCATAAAAAATTTTAATACGTACGATTTTGCTTAGGTGGGAGGAAGCTTTCATATAGCTCCGGGCCAAAGTTTCTCAATTAATCATGTCCATGGTAAGAATAACTTTGTTTTTCAATTAATTTTTAATTAAAATATAAATTATTTACTAAAGTAAAATTTTTATGTGCTGTAGTTCATGATGTGCAGCCTTTTAGTTCTAAAGCATTTAATACATCACATAAAATAGATCATTTATCATTTGGATATAATATTCCTGGTAAAACAAACCCATTGGATGGGATAGTAGCATTAACACATGAAGGTAAGTATTAAAGTACTATAATATTAATTACTCATTGGAATTTTTCACAATAATTATGGTTATAATAACGGCAAAAGCAAAAAATTTCACTCGAGTTAAATAATTGATTTAAATATTTTCATAATAGTCTTTATTAATTTAAATTTAAAAAAATATCACTTATTAAACAGCATTATTCTCTTAGGAAACTCATCTTATTATCAAATAAGCTTAGAATAATTTTAATAAAAAATGAAATTAGCCACTAATTTTCTAAATGACAAAGTATTTCTAAATTATTTATTTTTACTAAATTCGTGTTAAAACATTTTGATTTTTTTAATTTAAAAAAATGAAAATTATAAAATGAATGTTCTAACTTTACTAAAATTTTTAAAGTATCTACATGATTTATTTACTGAATCGTATAATTATTTATTAATTATTTAACATCTTATGCCACTTCCTATTGCCAGAAATGTACCGAATGTTCCTCCGCCTTGTAGCATGACTTTACCCACGTTAGAGACTAGTTCTTTACCTCTCAAACCATATCTAAAAGCAGTAAAACCTCCAAAAATTGTTCCGGACACTAATCCTACACAAAAACCAATTGCAAAACCCATTTTAACTTTGTCCCAACAGCTGGGGCCGGCATATGTGCCCATGTGATGCGGCATTTTGATTCCTGAAATATTTATCTCTAATTAATATATTCATTCAAATAGTTTAAATTAAATATTTTTTTTTAAATAAACGTTTTCATTTCAACTTAAAAAAAATAATTTTATGAAATTTAATTTTCTTTAAAATGAATATTTAAATATTTATTTATCGAAATAATGTGGCAGAAATTCTTCTATAAAAATTACAATTAATTTGAATTATTTTTTCACAGAACAGAAAACGAAATTTAATATTTTCGTATTTTACCTTAATAATATTGTTTCTTATATCTGAATTATAATTGAAAAACTTAAAAATGTTTTATCCTGAGCATTATTGAGCCCCGTGAGATTTACGCCATTTTGTCATAGAGAATGATTATATATAATATTAACAACAAAAACATGCGCTGTCTTTTGCTTTAAAAAAAAAAAAAAAAAATGCTTTATTGATAATTTTAATTTGTATTTATTAAAACCCATCATGAATCTAAATTTTTTTATCATTATATTGTTTAAAATAATTAAAAAATTTATTAAAATTTTATTTTCAAAAAGCTACTAATTTCTTTATTAAATATTAACGGCTCAGTGGTCTAGGGGTATGATTCTCGCTTTGGGTGCGAGAGGTCCCGGGTTCAAATCCCGGCTGAGCCCTAATTTTTTTTTATTTTTTACTTGGTACAAATATGAAAATTTTGTTTCAGGAGCGACTATGTTTCAATATTACATTAAGATTGTACCCACCATTTATTATTATTACGATAAAAGTGGTACAATTTTAACCAACCAATTTTCAGTAACAAGACATCAAAAATCTGGCAGTGAAACGATTGGTGTGCCACCTGGTATATTTTTTAATTATGAACTTGCTCCAATAATGGTCAAATATACAGAAAGAAAAAGGTAGAGTGTGTTTTACGATATTTTTCAATTATGTTTTTTTTTTTTTTTTTTTAACATAATCCTAACATAAAAATATATTTCAGATCATTTGGACACTTTGCGACTAATGTCTGTGCCATAATTGGCGGAGTATTTACAGTGGCCAGTTTAATCGATGCATTTTTATATAGATCTGTACAAGCATTTAAAAAAAAGATAGAAATTGGAAAATTTTATTGAATAAAATGAAAAATTTATTTTAATTAATGATATTATTATTTTTTATATATTATTATTTTAAATATTTTTATTTTATTTATTATTAACTTTAAAGACTTTTAATTTTATTTTGTTACCACATTCCGAAAACATAAATTAAAAATAATTTTTTTTTTTTTTAAATTTAAAGTCGGCTTATTTATTTTTATATTATAAAATTATTTATGTTATAATGATTTTAAAAATTCATTGTAAGTTAAAACAGATGCTTTAGCAAATTTTAAACAAAATTCTTCATCTGTTGATTGAATTAAATCTATTAGAGGAACATAACCAGGTAATAAAGGATTATATTGATCTCTTCCTAATTTTTGTAAAAATTTATGCCTGTCGGCAAATAAATGTTTTCTATAAGTTAAAACCATTGCTTGTTTAAGAATTAACTCTGGAGGTATTTTCATAACTTTTGTTATAAAATCATAAGTAAGCATAATTTCAAATCCATCTGAAATTCAAAATTAAAAGTATTAATTGTCAAATAAGTTTTAAATATATTTTAATATAATAAATGAATCATACCTTTTTTCAATAATGACGGAACTGTTTTGATGAGTTTCCTCAATTCATGTTTATTTAAATTCATTTCTTCCTTTAATACATAACTATTGGTCATAATTTTTTTTTTTGGCACAATTACTAATTTTGGAACTTTGGTAACTATTGCCCTGACATCGTCACCTTTAAGTTCGAATGTCTGTTGTATAAAACCCAACCTCTCATCTAAATTTCTCACAGATATAGACAACCATTTAGGATTTTTAGTTATAATTGTAGAAATCATATTTTGATCAAATTTTTTAGATTTTAGATAATTAAGTCTCGTCTCTAAATCCCTTAAATCTTCTTTGAAAATAAATGGATTAATTGTTATAAAATTTCCCATTTGATCAGCCGGTACTCCATTATCGTGTAAAAATAATAAATAAGGTTTGACATTTTTTTCTAAATCTAATTTTATAATGAAATTAGCTGCGTCTGGATTCTTCTCAATTTTATGCAAGTTAACTCCTAATTTAATTAATTCTTGAAGTAAAACTGACTTGTCTGCATAAGCGGCAAAATTATATGTAGGCTTTAATACTGAACCATAATTAACCAAATCTGATTCATTAACAATATCAAGTGGAGATTTTACAGTAGAAGTAGATGTGTTAACTAGAGTACTAGAATAATTTACATATTTACTAATGTGATCTAAAAAAATTCTACTTGAAGATGTATTACAATTCGAAGTATTTATTCTCTTGTATACCCAAAAAAAAACTTTTGAACGATTCATATTACTTAATATTACATAATAATTCACAATTGAAATGTTACCTGTACGTTAGTACACATTGTGTATAAAAAAACAAAAACAACGAATTAAGTTGATTATGTTGGCAGAACTTTAAAATTGAAGCTTTTGTTTAGAAATTTGACTAAAGATGCCAGTTTTTCCACGTGAATTTCAGAGTGTGGTTCTACTTATTTACCTGCTTACCTATTTTATTTTATGTAATTTAGTACTGGCAATATTATTGTTATAATGTTTTGATTTATAGTAAATAATTTTACATAATGTAACTAATTTATCATCTAGAAAAAAAAAAAAAAAAATTATATTTGATCACGTTGAAACGGTTAAAAGTTCCAAATGATTCAAAAATCATCAAAAGCGGCCGTTTTTGATTCCGCTACTATATCTGAAAATTTTGATGCAATAAATGAGAAAAGAGTTGACGATATAAATTTAGATATTTTTTATAAACCACATACTATAACGCTTTTAGCTGTATCGATAGCAGCCGTTATTTACTCTGCTTTTGTTAGGTGAGTAAGGATTTGATATTTATTCTTGTAGCAATACAGATAAATTTTATTAATCATTTACCTCTTTTTTTCTTTTTAAATTTTTCAAATTCACAATTAAATCAATTGTGATAATTTATTTAAATGGCATGACACTTCACTCAATCTTTAATTATTTACAGTTTTATTGAAAACGAACATTGCACAATTTTAAAAAATTTTATTATAAAACTTATACTATTATTGGCATTGGTATAATTTCTTTACTTTATTTTTTAGAGATGAAAATAATATTAATGACAATCTCAAAGCTGGGAGCTACTGTGTAATTTTTTTTTTCCTTATAATATCTATATTAGCATTTCCGAATGGTCCTTTTATCAGACCTCATCCAGCAGTATGGAGAATGGTTTTTGGCTTAAGTGTTCTATACCTGGTGTGTTTGTTATTTCTTCTTTTTCAAAATTACAAAACTGTTATGGAAATTATTTACTGGATTGATCCAGAATTAAGAACTTTTCATATAGATAGTGATAAGGAATATGGTGTAAATTGTTCAGACATCAGTATTGAAAAAATTTGGTACCATTTAGATGTTTTTGCATTAGCTCATTTTACCGGTTGGATGTTAAAAGCAATTTTAATTAGACATTTAGGCATATTATGGGCTATCAGTTGCATGTGGGAAGTTACTGAGGTACACATTTTATAAATTTTAATTTAATATAATCTGTCTTTTTTTTTTGATTTTCAAATATTTAATGATTTTATTTTCAGATTGCTTTTGCCCATTTGTTACCAAATTTTGTCGAATGCTGGTGGGATGCACTTATTTTAGACATATTGGTTTGTAATGGACTTGGAATATGGGTTGGTCTTAAAATTTGTAAAACTTTGGAAATGAGAGAATACAAATGGGTTAGTATTAGGTAGGTTAATTTAAAACTAAGTATTATATTACATATTTATTTTATTTTTAAGTTTCAAGTTTTTTTTCTTGGAAAAATCAATTTCAATAGAAGACGAGAATTCTATTTATTCTAATTTATTGATAACAATGATTTTTGTTTCATTTTTTTTTTGTTTTAAAGAGATATTCAAAGTACTACGGGAAAAATAAAACGAGCAGTTCTTCAATTTACTCCTGGTAGTTGGACTCATGTACGTTGGCTGGATCCAAAATGTACTTACATGAGATTTTTTGCCCTTTGTCAGCTAGTGGTTTTTTGGCAAATATCAGAATTAAATACATTTTTTTTAAAACATATATTTGAAATGCCACCGGCTCATTTTTTGGTTGTCGGAAGGTTAGGTCTGATTGGTCTCATAGTTGCTCCTTCTGTTAGGTAAAGTTTTGTCATTGATTATGCTTTAAAACGTCCAATTTAAAAATCGTTCATCATTATTTTTTTAATAAAACATTTTTATCATTATACTGCAAATCAATCATGCTTTTTCCAGGCAGTACTACACTTATGCCACTAATCCTAAATGTAAAAGAGTTGGTACTCAATGTTGGGTTTATGGTGCCATTATGACTACGGAAGCAATTTTGTGTATAAAAAATGGAAAAGAATTGTTTGAAAGAACTCAAGCCATTAACATTATCATATGGCTACTTATTCAATTATTAATTTCCATTTCTTGCGTTTATGGTTGTGTTTTATGGCATCGTTATTTTCAGGTCAGTATTTAAGGTTACTTTAATTTTAATTATAATCCATCAAAAAATACTTTTTTTAAATATACATATTTTTTTTAATTTTAGAAAAATAATGAAAATGGTCACAATGCAAAAAATAATTCTTCACACCAAAAATTAAATAATAATCCTAGCTATGAATTTGTCACATCAGATGATGAATGTGGTATGTATTTATTTATTATTATGCATTTGATCAGCTCATTTTACTTTTAAACTCATTTTAAAAACATATATTTACATGCCGCCATTTTATTTTTTCTTTAATTAGATGTGGCACCGAAAGATTCACCTGTTTCGAATACTTTAAAAAAGAGATTTAATTCAAATATAGATTCTGAAAAGTACAACAGGAATTGATTGTTTTAATTACAATATTTTTTTGTTATTCAATTAACTAATCTAGTCAAAAAGCCTTGCAAGTGTGCAGTCTCCTTCGTTTAATTTACCTATTAGTACGCACATCAGTGATTAAGAAATATCAATGGTAATTTTATTTTTAATTTAATGTTTTCTGTGCCTCAAATACATTTATAATATTTTATAAATTTCCATTTCCTTTTTCATTCAACATTTTTTTGATGGTTAGATAAAAAAAAAAAATTAGTAGAAACTTTGTTAAATTTATTTCAATTATCATTAAAACATAATAAAAAATGCATCAGTGGTTTGAAGAAAAAAAAAAAAAAAAAATAAGCTTTTTTTATTGCCAAAATTTTTGAATTTTTAAAATAAAATTAAAACAAGTTTATGTTGATATCATTATTAGTTTTATTTTAAATTTAATTTAATATAAATTAATTATAGTTACTTTTAAAATTATTATTTTGTTAATTTATATGTACATTTATATGTATTTGTTTAAGAATTATAATATAATTGAAAAATTTTTACGTTTTTCTTATTAAAAATTTTTTCTTCTACACAATTATCAAACTTTTTATTATTGTTCATCCATAATAAGTTTTAAAATTCAATTATTTTTTTAATTATCACCCATTATTCAAAAAAAAAAAATTAATTTAAATGTAAAGTAAAATTTATTATCAATGTATTGATTAAACGAAAAATTCAAATGTAAAATATCAAGCGAAAATTTCTGTTATTCCTTTCTAAAAATTAAAATTTAATGACTTTCAAAATGTAATAAATTTGAAGTCTATCACGCTTGATTAAAAATTGAAATTAGCATATTAAGTTGTTTTTTTTTTATTGCTCAATAACTATCATTAAATATATTTTTAAAATCAAGTTTGATTTTAAAAATTGTTGAAGGAAAAATGACTAAGTAATTTTATATATGTAATTACATAATAATACATTTCAAAATTTTTTTGATTGAGTTTGATTATATTTTTAAAATTTATTAAATAAAAATATCTTATGCGATTGCACAAATGCGTTAAATATTATATGAAGATTTAGAAAAACGTAAATTAATAATTTTTTTTAAAATTTTTCGTTCATTATTTAAACCTTAATCAAAAATATTAGAATATGTATTATTAAAATTATGATATGTGATTTGCACAATTTTTCAGTATAAAAATTTCATTGAATATAATTTAAAAAAAAAAAAAAGAAACTTAAATACGATATATATATTAAAAGTATAATTTTTTTTTAATTAATTAAATTTCATTCAATATTATTTGTTAAATTGTAACCGAAAATAAATTTTTATTAATTTATTTAATTTAAAAATTTGATTTTAAATAACCTTTGAAAATTTCCTTTGAATACGTTTTTAACCGGAATTTTACAAGCCATTTTAAAATGGCGGTCTAAAAGTTTATTTAACATTTTATTGAAGAGTCGTAAAATTTAATATTTATTGGAAGCATGACTTTTTCCAAATCTTAGTATAAATTTCAATACCCAGTCATGTCGTTAGCATCGAAAATTACATTAGGATTGGCTTGCACACTTACAGCAGGAATAATTGTATTTGTTAACGCCAAAGATTGGGTAAGACATAAATGTGATAATAATTAAAAACATACAATAATGGACCGCATATTTTTTATTTTAGATTGATAAAAAAAACATGCATAAAGGTGTTTTAAAAGATGTAGAAAGGCAGCAGAAAAAAAAAATAGAAAATTTGTACTGGTTGGAAAAGCAAGTTGAGATGACAAAAATTTTGAAACAGAAACAAAATGAGGAGAAGAAAATTGTTATCCCCTTATTAGAAGATGATAAAAAGGGAGAATTTTAAGTTATGATGATGGGTACATCGTATTGTTATTTTAAAAAGCAAATTATTTATTAGTAGTAATATTTTTGAACAATTTGAATTTATATTTTGATACTTAATTCAAAATTAAAATTTTAAGGATCAAATTTATGAAAAATTAGTTATTTTTATTGATAATTATGTAAATAATTTTTTTAACTACTAAAAAATACATTTTATAATTATACTCATTTGTTAATTTTTAAAGTAGTGAAAATATTCCAAGTTCTAGTTGGATGTATTTTAAAAAAGTTTAATTATTTTTCAATGAACTATAAAATTACATTAATATTCACAATTAAAAGTACAAAAATTATAAATTAATATATAAAGTTAAAAAGAAATTTAAAAAACTATCGTTTTGCTGCTGCGACCACTTCTCTCGCAGCTTCTTGCAAACCTTTTGCATTAATAATTGGTAATCCTGAGTTTTCTAAAATTTTCTTAGCTTCATTTACATTTGTTCCCTCTAATCTAACTACTATTGGAGTTTTAACATTAATTTTTTTACAGGCTGCGACTATTCCCTTAGCAATAGTTGCACAATTTACTATTCCTCCAAAAACATTAACTAAAATTGCTTTAACTTTATTATCATAAGTCAATAACTTAAATGCTTCAGTAACTTGATTCTCATTAACATTTCCTCCAACATCCAAAAAATTAGCTGGTTCTCCACCTTCTAACTTAATAATATCCATTGTTGCCATTGCCAGCCCTGCACCATTTACCAGACATCCAATATTTCCTTCTAAAGGTATGTAATTCAAATTAAACTGAGAAGCTAGCAGTTCTCTTGGGTCAATTTCAGTTTTATTTTCCATTTCAAATATATCTTTTTGCCTATATTGAGCATTATCATCAAAATTAATTTTTGCATCCACTGCAACAACATCGTTTTTTGAAGACTCTGCTAAAGGATTAATTTCAACTTGTGTGGCATCTACATCAAGAAAAAATTTCCATAATTTTTTCATTTCGCTGACTGCTTTCTCTTTAGATACTCCAGTAAATTTTAAAAATTCTGCTGCTTGGACAGCTATATCATCTGTCAATCCTTTAAAAATATCAATTGGGATAATTTTAATGGCTTCTGGGTTTTTTTCAGCAACATTTTCAATATCTACTCCTCCTTCTGCACTGACTACTACTACAGGTCCATTATGAGTCCTATCCATTAAAATACTAAAATAAGTTTCTTTTTGAATGTCAACAGATTCCGCTACCATTACTTTATTTACCAAAATTCCATCTTTTGGAGTCTGCTTTGTAATAAGTTTATTTCCCAACATTTGTTTAACTAAATTACCCACTTCCGATGGATTTTTTGTTAAATGAACTCCTCCCTTAAAACCATTACTGAAAACTCCGACACCTCGACCTCCGGCCAGTATTTGTGCCTTGACAACGTATTCTTCAACCCTTAAATCTTTAGCAACTTTGTCGGCTTCATCATGGTTAGACACTAGCATGAACTTTTGAACGGTTATCCCATGCTTAGCCAGTAAATCTTTACTTTGATATTCTAATAGATTTAACAATCTGATTTGTTTCACGTTTATAATGTTTTTGCGCCTGAATAAAGTAGATGTTTGTAATAATTTGCAATATGAGTATAATAATGGCATTTTAAATAGTTTTTAGTACAATTTAAATTACATGTAGAATCATTTAAATATTTAAATGTCGTGGGAGAAGAACTTTATATAAACTAATGCAACGATTTATTTGGCAGGTAAATTGCAAGTTTTTGAAATTATTATTAGCTGTATACGTTAATATCAGCAGTTAGCAAAAAATAAATTACAAAAAAGTTGTTATTGCTAAATTTCCTATGCTTTTTATTTTTATTTAAAAAAAAAAAAAAAAAATGGAAATATTATCTCCGGAACTGTTGTGGATTGAAGACAGATGTTATCGTTTACCTCCTATAGATAATAATATTTTGAAAAATATTAAAGATGATGAACAGCTTGAGTATGGTAATTTTTTTAGACGTTTTTTAAATTGCAATACACTACAGAAAACAACTATTACAAGGTAAACCTTGATTTAATTTTACAATTTTTTTTCCTTTAGAGTACAATTCAGAATGTGACACAAAAGTTTCCTCAGAAGAGGATAATACAGATGAAATGGATTTGAATATTAAAACAGTGGGTGAAAATAGATTTAAATTGTCTCTTTCAATAGCTCAGTAAGTAATAATTATTTATAATTTTTCAAAATGAATTGACTTAATACTATTTATTTTATTCTTTATCCATAGATCTTTTTGGCCAAAATTAATCGGATCTAAAGGTGTTACAAAAAAAAGAATTGAAACCGATACAAGAACTAGAATTATGGTGCCGAAACCAATGGAGAAAGGTGATGTAGAAATTAGAGGATCTTCTAAAAGGGATATAATTTTAGCTAAAAGATGTATTGATGCAATTATTGCTACATCAAGGCAAAAATTAACTTACACTCATTTTATTTCTGTGCCTATAATTAGTGAAGAAATCAAAAAAAATTTTGAAAAATTTAAAGTAATTATTGTTACTTCTTAACGAATCTAACTTCTTTTTTAAACAATATTAATTTTATATTATTTTAATTAGGAAAGTGTACTTGACCAGTGTGGTGCTGATAGAGGAATTGATGAATCAATTTTTCAAAACCCTAATAAATTGCATTTAACTATTGCCGTTTTAGTCCTAACTGATCAAAGTGAACGAAAAATAGCTGAGAATAGACTTCGAGATGTTTGCAATACAACCATCAAGTAAGTTATCATGATTAAACAGTTTTATTTTTGAATTAATGAAATTACTTATTTTTAAGTCAAAAATTATATGTCCTTTTTTTTTTTAGACCTTTATTAAAAAGTATTAATAATAAAATAATCATAGAAATGAAGGGAATAGAATATATGAATGATGATCCCTCTGAAGTTAATGTACTATATGGTAAAGTTTATTCACATCCAAATCCGAACACTCTTCAACAAATTTCTAATAGTATTTTGGAATATTTTGCACTCCATAAATTATTAAAACCAGAAGATAAAGAACAGGTAAAGCTTCATGTTACATTAATGAATACCACATTTAGAAAAGAAGATCCAGAGGAAATAAATGTTGAAATTCCTGGAACATTTTATAAAAAAAATAAAAAACCTGTTAGTACATTTAATGCTTCTAATATTTTAGAGGTAAAAAAATTTTTTTTTTTTTTCTTAACTCTGTTTTGATTATTAATATAAATACTAAGAAAAAAATTATGTTTTATTTTACAGAAATTTAGCAATTTTTATTTTGGACAAATGGAAATGAAAACCATTGAATTGTCTCTGAGGTTTTCCACTGCGGAAAATGGATACTATAAAAGTTCATGTTCTGTAAATATTTGTGATATATAAACTGCTTTAATTATACTTCTTAAGTGTAATATTGTTTATTTAAAGAAAAAAGAGAAAAAATTAATATATTTTATTTGATCAAATTAGTGAATTATTGAATTATCATTTCACTTATTTAATATAATACATTTCCTCAAACAAACTCTACATAATATTTTCTCGAATTCTTTTGTTTGTTTATATTGTAAAAAAAATTATTTAAGTATCTTGTTTTTTTTTTTTAAAATTGTTATAAACAATGTTTAATATTTTGTTAATAATTATTGTTTTTCTTTTTTAAATATATAAAAATATTTTTTGTTATGCTCACTTAAAAATTTACAAAAGATTTTGTTGTAAAAAAAAATTTGATCTTTGACCTTTAGAAAGTACAACTTATTTATTTCCATTGACACAAAAAATTATCATCAACCTAAAAAAAAATTAATCTAGCTCAATGATTACAAATTATTTCAATTTTAATCTGTAGTTTTAATAATTTTAGTAAAAACCAGTAGCCATTTTTTTTTTCTTTTTAATAATTTTTAAACACCATTAAATTATTTATTTAAAAAAAAACCACTAAAAAAATCTAGATATTGAGTTTTTCAAAGTGCCTACAAACATAAATACCTAATAATTACAATTTATTTGTAAAAAAAAAATTTATTTTTTTAACAAAAATAGTTACATAACAAATATATACAAACAGTGAATCACATCATATGTTGACTTAGTGATGGAAATATTATTTTGTTTAACAATGATTTCTAAAATTTTTATTACAGAAGTTTTAATGTATCAAAATTGTAAAATTTTGATGCAGTGAAGTTGTAATTAATAAGTTCTATCCAAAATTAAAAGTTAATTATTTTAAAAAAATGTAAATTTTTTGAAAAACTCAAAATGTCATCAGTGAGCACAGCAGCATATTATCATCTTCATAAATTACCCTCTCCTATTAAAGGTAAAAAAAAAAAAAAACAAATTACAAATATTTCTTTGATTAAAGTCCAATGTACAACTTTATTTAAAATTTTTTAAGATTTTATGTTTTAAGTCAACTCCTATTAAATTCTCAACATAAAATCAAATTCCAGTTCATAAAAATTAAAAAAAAAAAAAAAAAAAGGGCAAAAAATATGGAGACAAATAATAAATTTTAAAATATTTCTTTTTAAGAAAAAAATTAAAAAGCTTAATTTTAAATAAAATAACAGTATGTAGAAAAAATTTGGAAATGTGAAAGTTGAGGACCTGCTTAATATACTACTTAAGTACGTTTAAAACTATTTGTTTAAGATAAATTATCCGTATTGTAATATTAAATAAAATTATTATTTTATTAATTATCTATTTTAATTTATTTAACCAAAAAAAAAAGTGAAATAAATTATTTGTCTTATTATTATTATTATTATGTATGTGAAAAATATATTTATTTAAATTTATAAATGAATTATGCAACTTGAGGATTTCCGCAATTTGAATTTGTCGTCTGCTGCTTTTTTTAAAAAGCATCTGCTGAATTTTTGTTTACCTACGTCGACAGCACTTTTCAAGTAAAGTTTTTTTAAAATTTTTTTTTTTACTTAATATTAAAATGTATTATAAAAATTATCAATAACAATTTGCGAATATAGCATGTACCTTGTTTTACAAATCATTAATTTAAACAACAGATACATTTTTTTAAAGTCTCGGTAAGCTATATTTAATTAAGATAAATAACAACTTGTTTTCGTTTTTTCTTCGATTGTTAAAGTCTTAAACTGCAGCAAGTAAAAAAAAAAATTTACATGTAATTTGTTTAAAGTTTTTGATAATATATATATATATATATTTTTTATAGGAGTTGGCGAAATGCATGGAGCTCGTAGAGTAGTGACTTTTTGTGTGTTGACCGCCGTTTTACCTACAATTATTTTAATAATGCCATTGTATATTCGGCATAAATTATTTGCCGATATATTATATTCTGTAACAGAATCAGATATTCTAAAAATTGACAATGGCTTATCTACAATTTTTTGTAAGGCAAGTATATAAAAAGCCATTCATATGCAATAACATAACGCACAACATTACAGTTACCAATTTAAAAATAATTCTAAAGAATGTTAACCTGTAAATTGCATTTACAATTATTTTATTCAGTGTGTAACTTTTTGCTTTTTTAAATTTTTAATTAAACACTTAAAAAATTGTAAAACAAAATATGTTTTTCAACAAGGTAAATTTTTAAAAACAACAATGACCTGGTAAACTGTAAATAAATTGTGCGATAAATTTTTTTTTTGTTTATTTAGCATTTTTCATTGTCAAATGAATGAAATAAATATATTATGTAACAAAGTTATTCCGACATTTGTGATGTAATTTATAAAATGTATATTATTCTGTTTTGTGATAAAGATTATTATCATTAATAATTACATTTAGTTTATTTATTTTTTTCTATTTATTTTAAATTATATTTTTATTTTATTCGCAGGAACAAACTTTGAAAATGAACAGTTCTTTCAATGCATATCTCATGGGCTCAGAACCGGAAGTCAGTAATAAAAAAAAACGAATCACATTAAAAAAAAGTATGAAAATTCCAGATGATACATTCGAATATTGGGGATTTTTTCTACCCAAGGGATCACAAATGGAATTGACAGTATGTTCAAAAATGGAAGGAGCAAGAATTCTTGTTGTAAAAGGAGGTAGAAACTTAGAAACCTGCGGATTATTAAATAAGTTAAAAAATGAAAAATTCCATCCTCCCTTAAATTTAGATAAGAATGAAGATAAAGTGTGGGTTATTTTTGAAACCATAGCCGAAAAAATACATAATAATAAAAGTGAAAATTCCATTAAGGATAAAAATGATAATAATAATAATTTAAAATTTAGAAATTCTAGATCAGTATTCCAAAGTGAAAATGATTTAGATTTTAATGATGCGAGAGAAATTGAAAATACAGATGGTATGAAAGCATTTATGTTTTTAAAAAATATAGCTAGAAATCATATGTTTAAATATCATGAAAGAGTAAACACATCAGAATTGAGAACTATCGAAGAAAGTGTTGTGGGGCATAAATTAAGGCATAGTAAGCAAAAGTCGGCTTCAGTGAAATACAAACCGATTATTTTATCGAATAAAGTGATTGAAGATAGAATCACTGCGGAAGAAGAAGATTATAGGAAGAAGAGAAACATTATATCGAATTCTCCATACAATTTAGATATAGCTAAGGTTGCACACGGTGGAAATGCATTTAATTTTACAGATGAGGAATCATCGGCTTCAAGTTTTGAATCTAGTTTATTTAATTGTTTCGAGGGTAAAATTTTATTTAATCACGTCGTGCCATCATCTGATTTATGCTTGGATACTTCGCATTTATATTCGAGTGGTACGAAAATAATGACCACGACACACAACGTTAGCGCGGATGGGTACTACTATTACATTTTTTACAGCGACTACGATGATGCCGTCAATTCAATCCACGGCATATTTGATATTTACAAACCGACTTACGAATATTCAAATTATTCGAAAAATTGTCTCAACAAAACGGAATGTAATTTCAACTTGAATTTTTTTTCAAAACAAAAAATAATCGTCGAAGTGCCAACGAAAAACGGTATAGAACATAATGACGATGATATGACAATGCTTTTGTTAATTTGCCATCCCAGAATGACAGTATATATAATTTTTCCACTATTAGTATTATTTTTAATTTTAGGTTGTGCTTTTTTATAAAAAAAATAATGTTTTTTTCATATATATTGTCAAACAACAATATAGTTTTGACAAATATTTTATAATTGGATATTATCAATAGCTTTTATGAAAAGATTTATTGCTCAAAAATTAAATTTTACCTGGGCCTAATTACTTAAAAAAAAAAAAAAAAAAAAATTAATTAAGCTTTAATAAAAAAGTACTAAAAACTTTTTTTTTTTTTTTTTACATATTATATAAAAAAATTGCTCAATCAATGAAACATATTTTATTTTTTTATAAAATTAAAAAAAATTTTAAATGAAAAAAAAAAAATTTAATACCAATTAAACTATTGTCAAAATTAAATGACAATCTTGTACAGAAGAAAACCGAATTTAGTATAACATAAAAAAAAAAAATTCATAAATATTTTAATTTAATGTTTTTCCATGGAATTATTACTTACATACCATGTATATTTTTTTTTTAATATGTAAAATACTTAATAATGCATTTTAAAAAGTATAACTTGACCAAATTAACTAAAAAAATTCCATATAAGTACGTATATAAATATACATACATAATTTTTTTTTTTTTTTTTTACTTATTATTAATAACATTACAATTATTATTTTGTACAAAAAAAAAATAATTATATACCTTATAAATATTTCTTTTTTTTTTTTTTTTTGTTATATTTTACATATTTTATTGTTTTTTTTTTTTTTTTAAAGAACTAATTTTTAAGAATAATGTAATTAATATATATTTTTAAAAAAGTTGCATTTTTTTTTAAATTTATAAATTTACATATTTTTTAGTTTTTTATTTTATTTTAATGTAATAATAAAAATAAGAAAAAAAATTAACGTTTTTTT